TAACCAACTGACAGACGGAATCTCACTATACATCAGCCAATCTCATCCTCCCCTCTCTCATGACGAGGCACGCACGCGTCCCATCATGAAAAAAGGTTAGTTGTGCGACCTGAGTAACGTGCAGTAACAGGGTGTCGGTAATGGTAACTGAGTTAGAGTTACAAAGTAATTAGTTAGATTACTTCGTTACTAAAAAAAGGTAACGGCGTTAGTATAAAACTAGCTTGGCATGAAACACTAACGATAAGAAACACTCACAGACAATCAATTTCACCTGCTGTTGTGCAAATGGAATAGACAACAGGTTGAAATTATTGACAATAAACCAGACACACTCAATAAAGGAGTTGTTCCGCAGATGGGACCACAAACCACTTCTCAGTACCTACGCCTGCTGGCTGATATTTTGGTCACTTTTGAATGTTGATGGTGTTTTCAACTTGTGGTAGCATGAGACAGACTCTACAACCCACGCATGTGGCTCAGGTAGTGTAGCTGATCCAGGATAGCTGATCAATGCGAGCTGTGGCAAGAAGGTTTCCTGTGTCTGTCAGCATAGTGTCCAGGGGCTGGAGGCGCTACCAGGAGACAGGCCAGTATACTGGGAGATGTGGAGGAGAACATAGGAGGGCATGTAAATGCTATTGTTTGCTTGTACAATAATTCTGAAATCTAGTAGATTGTTGCACCTTATATAAGTTTGTACTTATTGTTTATTTTATATAGTTTCAATATTTGTGTGTTGTGCCTCATATCATCATTTGTTTTGAATGTTAGTCACAGCATTTAATTTAAATAAGATTGAGATGGATGCAGATATTTTGAAAAATGACATTTCTGTTTCCTGCCAAGATTGTAAGCTATCGGAACCACACTTGGGCTTCAGCGTGGACTAAGAGCTCACAAAAGCAAAAAACTGCATTTGCTAGTTAAAAATAAGATTTAAACAGAAGAATAAATCCAGCCTTAGTCACAAGCAGGCCAAAGTGGTATGTTTATTTGCTACATGTATTGTATGTTATGTTGTGAGGCTAATTATTTCTGTTGTATTTTTGTGCTTATTTTGTCAGTTCTAAGGTGTTTAAGAGCATTAAACATCAGTAAAAGGAACTCTCGTCTTTGCGTTGTAACTGAGGCCGGCATAGGGCAACAACCGTAGGACCAATTTCTCCCCCTTTGTTTAAGGAGGAGCAGGAGCACTGCCAGAGCCCTGCAAAATGACCTCCAGCAGGCCACAAATGTGTGTGTGTCTGCACAAATGAGGATGGTATGAGGGCCTGATGTCCACATATATCTATATATATCTATATATATATATATAGATATATATAGGTCTCATCTGACCTATATAAGCCTGACCTCGCTTCTTTAATGTTTAAACCTTTTTACGTATGGAAGAGTGACAAAAACATGGTTCTATGGTGAGTAAACATTGTTGGCTTTATCTTTAACTTTCTATGAGATCCTTTTCTCATAGATACAGCCTGGATCACAGTGTGTCATAAACACACCGTGAAGGTTGGGACAAATATTTAGAGACTTAAAAAACATGAAAAATGACAGTAGTATAACCCATTAAAATATACTGAAACCCAATGAAGAGAGGCTAAAACAGAGATTTGATCTAATTACAATAATCCAGTCCAGGTATACTGACTGCATGAAAAACTGTTTAAAGATTGCATTGTAGAGCACTGCCTTGATTTTATTTATAAACGGAACATCCTACTGTGCTATTCTTGCTTTCTATATGTACACCTACTTCTAATAAATGGGATCCAGAGCAGATATCAGAAAATTGTGTCTGGGTCCATTGGTTGGAAAATCGTATTTCGGTTAAATTTTCTAATGGTGGATTTTAGAAATATAATTGTTTTTGAACACTTCAAATTAAAGGCACATATTTCATGAACAAACTGAAGTTTATTAATTGGAAACAGTTTCTGTTTATGGAAACAGTGAAAGACCAGTAGAGGAGCCGTCTGTAACAGAACTGAGCTCTTACAACAAACTGTAAACAAGACAACAACGCCCACCTCTAATCTGACTCATCCGCTGCTTCCCCTTCTCTGAGATTAACTGAATTAGATTAGAAATGGGCAGACAGATGTCTTCTCAGCAACAGTCATCAGATAAAAACAAACATCTTAAAATAGTGTTTAAAATATCGATGTCAGGTTAGTGCACATAAAGACCGGGAGCCCTCTCCAGCTTGGCCACAGTTTACATTTACCTGGTTTAACAAGTTCAATTAACAGACCAACAAGGACTATGCGCAACAGTGAGGACAAAAAGTGAAATTAATCCTGGGATTAGGATATTTTTTGGCTGAACAATATTTAAATAGGTACTGTCAGGATGGTGTAGGTCTGGAGCAAAGAGGAATATCGTGGAGAGGCTCTTTTGGCACAACAGATGACCTCTGGGTTCTCAGATAGCTTTTTTTTATCTCTTCAGCCAGCTGCTTCAGTCAACATAAAAGGCAGCAACGTGAAGAAGAAGCAACGGTTTGACTTGAAACGCTTGAGTTACAGCAGACACACACACACACACACACACAAAGTACATGTTGGATGGTCCGAGTCCAAAGGCTGACATCAGTGTCAACCAGAGACGAGAACAAAGTAGAACAGCTTCTCAAACATGAAGCTAAAGTGCATCAATGCTTGAGCAAAAAACATTTTTGGCAACAAAATTATCCTCAACTTATAAATGAATATAAAATGTTTCTGTTTTCGTGTTTGAAGCCATCTTGCACCTGCTGTACATAAAAGGTACCTCAGGCAGGAGGATCGCAATAAGCACATGGCGCAAATGTGCTTTTAATGACAAAAAAAAAAAAAACACAGCAAAATAAGGTGTAAAAACTAAAAACGAGATAAAGACAGGTGTTGGCACTATCATACAGATGGCCTTAGGACGGTTTGGAAATGGCTAAGCAATAAATTAACCTCCTTCTGCTTCTTAATGGGATCAGAGAAAAGATGTTTATCTTGGGATAGACTGAGCAAAAGTAACCAATGTTTGATAATCTGGGTGCTGTTTGCACCAAGGTGTTTAGAGTTTGGCATTCTAAAAATAATTATCTTTACTGAAACAAAACAGTAAAAAGAGAATTCTTTTTTTTTTAAGTAGATGTGAATTATCTGCTAAGGTTTTTTTGAAAAGTTGCAGTTAGAATCAAAAGACCAGCAGCCTAGAAATGTCATTTATCCAAAGAAATTGAGCAAAACATTGTAGAAAAAAGACAAAAACAACCTCTAATCCCTTTGAATAAGTGGGAATAACAGCACAAAACATAGCACTCAACCACATGTTGCTGTGCACTGCCATTCAGCTGGCTGAATAAAAGTGGACTTCAGATATTGTTCTCTCTTGCTTACAAGAGACAGATGTATTTGTAATAATTTCTGGCTACAATAAACCCCGTAACATGCGATACAGAAAGGAGCACCACCCATCCCTCCTATTGAAGTATTACCAATTTGAAATAGCAGCTGGTGAGCTACTGTTGCTCACTGCAGACTGGCTACAAAGCAAACAACCAAACTAGTAAACCAGCTGGTATAAACTTGTCCTAACAGTGAAATTATAATTTCATGCTCATTTTTACTTCAAAACTACCAATTTAGCCAATATTAATTTTATGTTTATGCATCAAAATAATGATAGCTATAGAATAAAGCTAATAATTAATATTTGAGCAAAAGCAGGAATAGTTTTTGCCTTTCAGTTTTAAATGAAGGTGATTAGGTCATGGTATACATATTTGTTTTAAACCTTTTTGGAAATACCATAACATTCTTTCTTTACATTATCATACTGCAAGATTCCAATAATGGCCAATGCCTCGTTGTCTCCTGACAGCTAACTCTTAAAGCTAACATATAGTGCGTAACAGAACTTCATATTTGTCTAAAGTTTGAATTGAATTTGGCCTCTAGACATCATTAACCTGGTATTTTATGAGTAAACTATGAACCACAAATTAAAGTGAACCGGTAAAAAAAAAAAAAGAAAAACCAAAACAAGCATTTACGTCTTATAAATACAGCTGAAACAACAAGGTAGAAAACCAGGTAGAGTGAACAGAAAGTTTCGGCAGGGCTTCTCTTTCTGGCTCCTCTGCGTTGGACCCGATCCCTCACACACTGTGCTTACATCAACATCTACGGAGATGACGATCATCTTCCACACGGTAGAAAAGAAAAATAAGAACATTTCTGTTTGTTTTTTTCCTTAAAGAACTGTACAAGATTATTTAAAATAAAAAAAGTCAACAATTAGTTACACATATTTATAAGACCATATTGTTTACGTTATATTACTATAAAGAAATGCAACTTCTGTGATGCTTTAATTTACTACAATAGGCAGTATTCCTTTCTTCAGAGAGCTGGGTGTTTCTGTGTTAAAGACGGTGGATGTGAATTGTTATATTTTTAATAGTAGATGTATAAAACTACTGTGATGGAGCACTATAGTAGTTTTGAACTTATGCTCAAATGTTTTGTAATAGTTTAGCTAGAAAAACTGATAAAGTTTCTAGCTAATATTTCTGCAGTAGCAACAATTGTCCACAAGATGGAGCTAACTGATCTTTAGGATCCATGAATTCTGATTTTATGGAAACAGATTAAACAATCTAAGAATTTGATGAAGATTCACCTTCATTAAACTCTGTAGCTGTAAAAAGTGGAACATAACTAGTCTTTCTAGTGTTTTTTGGGAGCAAAATACATTCCTGCCTTTTTTCTTCTTCTGTTTGTGGTCCACGAATCCAGAGCTCTTATTTTTTTCCCCATCTGTTAAAAAAAAGGAACACTGCATATCTCCTTCAATAGTTTCTTCAGCCTTTGTTCGCATTGCTAGTGTGCATTCTGCAGGGGAACTGAGGGTGATGGAGGTTCAGCTAGGCAGGCCCGTCCTTCGGAGAGGACGGAGTCTGGGATGTTGAGCTGGAGGAGGAGGAGGAGGAGGCTGAGTTCTTCAGAGATCCCAGAGTCTTGCTGAACCATGAGTTCTTAGCAGCTTGGATTTCAGTCATCAGGACTCCTCGCTGATGCTCCAGCTCCTGCAGAGCAGAAACAGGAGAAGAGTTTGGTAAACAGATGCAGAGGACAGATCATCTAGTAAATTGAAAGCAAAACTTTAACTATTAGGTTAGCTTTTTTTAAATATGCCCCTGCTTTTTAATGATTCATTGAATGCTGGAAGGGATTATAATGGCAACTAAGCCCAGAAGTGTTCATACAGGTTGTAGATTTTAATTTAAAATTATATGATTAGCAGAGAAGTGTCTTTCAAATGATGCAACTTTATAAGAGGAAAATAATTTCCGTTTTTTTATGTTTTTATATTATTTAAAAACTTAATTTCTAAAAATTAAACTATACCTTATCAATAATGAATGGAAAAACCTTACTATTGCTGACTTTTTCGATAAATATTCTGTAACATTTGTCTTTCAGGTCGAAAAGCCTCTTAACCATCACCCTAATCTTTAACTGCCTTCAAAGACAAAGATTCTGATTCAACTTAAGACTTGAATAACATTTTATTTTAACTTCCAATCAGAGGAAACATTTGATAAAAATAACAAATTTAAACCTAAACCTGCTACAGGTGGAATAATTCTGAACTGAAATGAAAATATCTCCATGGTCTTAAAACTCTCCTGCTGTCTTGATCAGAACCTTAGACAATCCGCATGGATGTAAAGCTAGAGTTGGCCTTTTAATATAGTTTTTGTAAAGCTGAAGAGCTTTGGGTATAAATATGTCTGAATTTCAGACCTCTTGTCTCATCAAAAATGGCAGCGCTGATTAAAATTTATTTCCTTGCCTGAACGTTGCCCTGCCCACTTTCAATAGAAACAAGGTCGAATTCCTTCTTTAATAATAAAAAAAAAACCTGTTAGATGGACTTACAAGCTAAAAGCCTTCTAGACAAACTTTATAAAGGTTTAGCTGCCATAACACAAAAAGAAGATGAACATGTACGAGTGGAGTGATTACTACTTCTACTTCACCTAAACAACTAGTTTAAACATGGACACAAACATGTTTTGAGATAGGACAATAATCACCAAAACAAGAAAGAAAACTGTTTCTGATTAACCTTCTGAAGGTCATAAGTTCAATCATGGGGAAAGTTCATGTACTACGCGTAATATAAGTGTTTATGACAAGAAACCAACCAATTTACACCACCGTCACTTATTCTTACAGGAAGACAGGTTAAATATCTAGAAAAATGGCAAAAATTGTTTTTCTGTGGAAAAATCTGACCCTGTTTGGATTAGCAGCTATGAAAAAGCACTTGGAAATAGGAATATTAAAAGCTTTCATTAAATACAATATCAGGTACTCTGATGAGTAAACCTCTGAAAACCACAGTCTATTAAGGCCAAGATCATGTTATAGAATGACCTCTAAAGATGGACCAACAGGTTCAGTGATGACTTTCTAAACAGCTTTCTCATTTTACTGTGCTAACAAAGTGGATTGTTTAGGAAGTGAACTAATTTAAGGATTTCTAATTGTTAAAGCAGTAATGTCCACCAACCAAACCCCAGAAGGTTTGTCGTTTTACCTTCCGATGTTTATATTTCCTTAATGAACTACTAAACATAAAGAGAATGAACTGCAGAAAAGGTTTAGGTTGACTAACTCAGTTTAATATTGACTATTACGGTTGCTAAGTTTAGCTCCCTCTTCATTCTGCTCACCTGGATTCTGCACTTTGCCTCCACCAGCTGCAGTTTGGTCTGAGCCAGCTCCAGCTCCAGCTGTCGGAGCTGCTCCTTCAGCCCGTCCTTCTCCTCGTCTTGAGGCTCGCTGGATGTCCTGTCGCTGCCGGGGGAGGAAGCTTGCAGGGAGCCCAGTGTGCTGAACAGATCCTTGCAGTTCTCACAGCTCATGACTTTATTCTGCACAAGAACACAGATGCATATCTGCTGAGTGCTGATGCAAAAAGATGTAGATGTTCTGCAAAAAGTCTTAGCATTCATGGTGTAGAAAAAAAAACAACTATTAGTAGTAAATTGCAATCCTGCACTTGCACAGAAATACATGTATTGTACAGCAACTAGAAACAAAAGTGTTTTTTAAATATTTATATAAAACGAGTGTTAATCTCTGTTAATCCTAGTATTTCTTTAGCATAGTTGCAAAACATTTCAGTATTAAGAGTCAAATTAAAAAAGTCTGCTGCCACACCCGCAAAGCCACCCACTGCCTGTTTGATGGAGACTAAAAGCTTGTGTGGGATTATTTCTGTAACCAAGCTCTGTGTCGGTGAGGTGGTGCACAAAACTCCTCACCATCTGACTAAACTTATTGTGGCTTTTATTTGAAATTTTAATTCCCTTATAGCTTTGATCTGCAGCTGGCTGCCGGTAGCCGTGGATAATCTCACCCTGACGATGTCGAGCTCCTCTTTAGTTGCCGCCTGCTGTTTTTCCAGCCTGGTGCTCAGCTGGGAGCAGATCTGAAATGAGGCGTGGAAGTCTAGTTACAAAAGAGATGATGAAAACTGCAACACACAAGGCATTATTTCTAATCTAAACTTGGAATATCTAGAAAAAAAACAAGCCTTATGTTCATCCGGTTCCATCCTACCACATATGAGAATCACAGCAAACCACTGTCGTTCCAGAACACATCATTTAACAAAGAAATAACAAAAAAACAAAAACATTTCACATCATTCACTGAATTTACCCATCTGCTTTGCCATAAAAGTTATTTCTGCTCTATTAAGCTTAATATATGGAAAAATTACACAAATAAAACAAAATAATAAGATGAACTATGATTAAAGTTTGATATGCAATGCAATTGTCTGAGAGGAATGAGGATAAAGTGTGGTTTCTATTCTCCACCATCTGTGTCGCTAGTTCTTATTGCGTTAAACAAGAGGTTCCGGGTTTTTTTAAGGATGGCACACTTTCCAATACATTTTTTTCTTAAATTTTAGACCATAACCTTTGTGTCAAAAGTGACAGATGCATGTTTCAGGCCCCAAATGACATCCCCGGGATTTATCTGTGACTACAGAAGATCAGTCTGTAAAACATTAGCTGCTGAGGAAAGGTTTTGCTCATAACATGATGAGCTCATACATAATCATTTTTCACTGATAAAAGCCTAAAAACAGTAACTTCAGACAGCAGTTATGGAAAGCCAGGATGGCTTTTAGTTTTGCTGTTTTTAAATGTGTAAATTCAGTTTGTCTCATAATAAACAGATTATTATAAATATTGAATTAACAGTTTTCCCTCAGACACATAACTTATATCATACAATATATATTTAAAAAATGAGGCAAATTTGTTTTTAACTTGTGTATTTATATTGTTTAACTCAGATATATGTGTAAAGAATATGCTGTCACCTGTTTGTACTCAGCTATGATGGCTGTGGTTTTCTTGATTTCCATCTCTGCCTTCTCCAGTTCCCTCCTGAACACCTCCTTCAGCTATAAGAGACACCAGAGGACTGAAAAGAAATGCACTGAACAAAAGGAGTACAGTTCTCACAAAACAACAGACCGCTTCATTCTTACTGATGTGTTCACACAGACTTACTTTTTGGGTCAAATCAATGAATTCACAAGTGGATATAAAGGTAACTTAGCTACACATTCAAATATTAATCTCTACCTTCCTAAACAGTTTAAAACACGGTTAGATGAAGAATCATATCTAGTTACTCTGTAGTGAAGCTGGAAGTAGAAAACAACCCAAAAACGAAGAAGGCAAACTTCACAGTTAATATAATAGATGAAGTATAACTGAAAATGTAGCAGAGAGAATTTAACTGATACATATCCTAGCAAAGTTAATATGAGAATATTTATCTGATAAAATCCAAATGAAAACCTTTTCAGTGAGTAACCTCACCAAAAACATTAGGACGCTGTAGGACATCAGGGAGGACATAAAGTTAACTACTTTATTATTATAATTTCCAAAATAAGTTAAAAATTGTAGCAAATTTTATTTTATTTTTTTTTTTATTACAAACACATTCAAATTATAACAATCACTTAGGAGAGACTAATTTGAGCTGAACTGGTATCTAAATGGCTGGTAGCAGCTTGAAAACATGTGGATCTCAATTTGCTGGCTGATTAAATGTGGACTTTTAAAGTAAAATGGTTCTGGTGTGACAATGTGACTTTCAGTAATCATCCTTCACCTAATCGCTTTTCTCTGCGCACTGACAGCAGCTGAATAAAGACATTAAAGAACAATTGTTTCTTTCTGAAAACTCTCCTCCAAAAGAAGTAAGGACATTCAAACAGAGAAGCCATTCAGCCACCTCTACATCGGTTACACTGATAATGCATGAGAACACAGCCTTTGTTTGCTGCTAACTGAGGTACTGGATGGTAAACTGAGGACTAATGTTACCTGGGCAGTCTCCTCCTCTTGCCGTCTCTTCTCCTCCTCCGTCTCCACCAGACGCTGTTTGGTGCTCAGCAGCTCTTTGTTCAAAACATCAGCCTTGTCTTCAGCCTGTGTGAAGGTTCCAGAAACAACACACACTTTATCTATCTAGGCTGCAATATGACACTTTCTGGAAAACCAACCTCCTAAAGATGGATCACAAAAACTGAACAGTTCACCTCATCAGTGCCAGGTTGAATAAAATAATTGAGCATGTAACTTTTCTGACATATTTTACTCAGGATTTTTAATAGATTACAACATGACATGCACCGATCAGGATATTGGTTCTACTTGAACCCCAGTCGGCCGCGGCAGATGGCCGCTCACACTGAGCCTGGTTCTGCTGGAGGTTTCCTGTTAAAAGGGAGTTTTTCTTCTCCACTGTTGCTATAAGCATGCTTAGTGTGAGGGATTTCCTTCAAGTCAATGAGTCGATGCAATCAACTGGTTTTCCTTAGATAGAAAACTTTGAATCAATCTGACTGGATGATCTGGTGAACTGTAAACTGACTTGAGATGACGTGTTGTGAATTGGCGCTATAGAAATAAACTGAATTGAATTGGGAGCCGATCGCCGAAATCTGTATCTGCTGATCCAGATATTGCCGATCAGCAATCACAGCATTGAATCCATACATTCTTCAATACTGCTGTCTCATGTACATTGGCATTGTATTGAATATAATAATTAAGAGATGAGAAAGTATCATAAACTGACCACTGTTTTAGTGAAGGATGCAGCCGAGAATCTCTTTTTTGGATCAAAAAGGACGGTAGAGAAAATTATGTCGACAAATAATGAGGTGGGCAGTGCTCTGTAGAGGTTTTAATTACTTTAAAAAAATGTAGCCCTAGAAGGACTGTTTCGTGGTCCTACCTCCCAGCGCCGACACCAGACAGCTGCCACTTTCTGTCCTACACCTCCAGCGCTCTATCAACCAAGTGGACTTATCTAATCTACTGCCATCTGATCGGCCTCCTTTGTTCTATTTTTAGAAAACCAATCAATAAGGGTGCCATCAGCAGATTATAATCGGTTACCTTTTTATCGATTCATCTCTAAAACGTTCAACTAAATTAACCATGAAATCCGTAAAAGTTTTTAACAAAAAAATAAAATCACTATACACAGAATAAAAACACAGAACTGAAACTTTTCTGTTTAGATTATTTAGGATGGATAAAAAAAGATGTTTAGCAAATACAAATCGATAGTTCAGTTTGAAAAACTTTCCCTAGATTTATGTATTTACATCCAAAGATGATTGGTCTCCTTTCTCAAGCTTATTCTAAAAGTTTGCATAGATTTTGGTTTGTGCTTCCTCACCGATGTGTTGTGATTAGAACTGCAGCAAACGATAATTTTTCAAATTGATTAACCTGTCTATTATTTTTACGATTAACTGATAAATGATCAGAGGCTCCTTAAAGATTTTTTTTATGAAATTAAACAGATGAAAATAAAACTTTTTTATTTGAGGAGTTCTGGATAAAGCATATTGACAGAAGAAAAAATTTTTTTTTTATTAAATGCTTAAGTTTGTTACATTTGTTTTTACAATTTTCATCTAATTACTGCCCTAACTGGGTTGCTCTGTCAGCTAAAGGCACGTTTTAGATTCTCTATACTCCAGTTAACGATTTTTCAATAACTACATTAGTTGACGATTATTTCAATAATCTTGATCAATCTGTTTAATTGTTTGGATGCCCCCTTCTGGCAACTGGAACTTTTACCAAATAAAAATATCCGATTTATGGCGGTTCACTAAGTTCTTACCGTTATTCTAATATTTATTTATATTTTTCACAATGTTGGGTAACTAAGCAGGTTGATGCCTTGAGATACATCCACAGCTAAACCTCTGAGCTGTTCTGAATTGATTTAAAAGGCATATAATGTATACTGTCTTTCATATATCCTTTTATATTCACTTTATTCTGTCATTAAACAAACTGATTTGTTTTTTATAACACTGATTAACCTATAACAGGTAATGTTTATATGGAAAAATGTTAATTAACTCATATTGAGGATTCTACCTGGTCCAGGTCATTCCGGAGGGCGATCTTACTGGTGACCAGCTCATGTGCCAGATCGTCATTCTCTTGCTCCAACCTCATGCTGGCTTCTTGTAGTCGGCGGTTCTCCCTCTACAGACACAAAACACAAAAATTTAGGATCCATTTGTCTATGAATAGAAATCTGATAAAAGCCTGACATCTGCTGTAAAATAAAACAACATGCAGAGAACTCAAACATCGAAAACTTAACCATCCCCAAAGTCCTGTTAGGAACTGTTGCCACATAGCAGAGGCATGTTAGAAGGATCTGATACAGACATTAAATGGAAAGCAAGTTACAGGTGTAAACTCTCACTTTAGAGTCAGACTCTTGAAAAAGGGTCTGAGTCAGTATACAGCAGCACACACACTACACAAGGTTACCTTAAAATGTCAGACACCTGGTGCAAATCTTTATGGGTCAAGGTTTGTTTATTTTACTGTCTCTACCAGATTGCTTATATTTAGCTGCATACAACTTAATTGTTTCTGCGGAACAACTTGATCTCCAAAGGCTGATGCTGCCACTGCCATGTTTCACCACAGAGATGGTATAATCAGAGTGATGTGAAAGGATAATGGTTCACTGACACAGCATTTTGATTCAATCCGAGCAGAGCCGCTTCTTTCAACTTGTACTCTGTTCTCTTTATGATTTGTGACAAACTGCAAATGTGTCTAAACTAAATCGGCCTGTACTGTATTACTGTATAACTAGGAAGAAATTGCTCTTGAAAGCATAAAACAACCGAATTGAGTATTTACTTATAGATATTAGCAATTAGCAACTTTCCACCATATCTAATGGTGTATTCAGAGTAACATGCGATCTATATTTTCAACAGAAGTTACGATTTCCTTTCATCTGATCAGAGCACCTCTTCCCTTCGACATAGTTGCCTTTTTTATGTGACATTAAACTCTTCTTCATGTATGCAACCACAATTATCCAACACAAGCCTCCACTGCTGCTTTCACTAAGTACCCACAGTATATCCTTGTCCCCTTTATGGTCATTGTGTGAAGTCCCATGACTGCCACTCCAGCGGTAAACACTCTCACATGATGGGCATAAAACTGTTGTCAGGGGCTGGTCATTTGACCCTGATTTTTCTGTCACTTTTTAAGTAATTACATTTTCTAAACCTTGACTAATACCAAAACTTCGATAGATTTAAAGACATGCATGACTGACAGACAGTAGGGATCAAATCTAAATTGTTTAATCAGCTCTTATCCTCGTAGACCCGAGTATTGTTTTCTTAAAGGAGATTATCAACCAACACTAAAATTTGTCATTTTTGCTACAGATAAAAGCATCATATTGATGTCTTTATAAAACCTTGTTTTTTAGCATATATGTAATAAAACAGAAGAACAAAAGCCAGAAAACAAACAGGGAAATGTAAGCTTACTTCATTAGAAAGTCTTTAGAGCAGAGGAAGCTTACCGAGCGCCAGTCCACAGCGACAGCGTCCACACATGGACCGACTGGAAGCGCTGACTAAACTTCAACACATGATTCTCATAGCCTCACTTTCCTGTCACACACCTCTCAGCAAAACTTTCTCTCTCAGTAGTCTCTTTGCATCTATTCATGGTTCTATTTTTTGTTCATAGTTCTATTTTTTGCTGTTTTGAATATAAAACGCATGCATGAGAAAGGAGGAATGTGGCACCTAATCTGTAAAAAGACTTGGCATTCAGGAAGCTAATCAACGAAGAAGATCAAATTTATCATCTGTGCAACTATACCACCAAGTTAAGAACTTGAAACAAAAAAAAAAAGGTTTAAAAGGTAAAGTCTCTACCTTTGCCAATAAAACAGGAGCGTTCTTGTTTTTTCTCTGCTTTCTTTTTGGAGTAAAACTGTTTCCACTGTGGGTCAGGCAGCTAAGCCAAGCCTAACATCTTATCTACAAATAAGAGTCTTCCTTCCTTCCTCTGCTCCACAATTGGGCATTTAGCCTGCAGCATATCACTCTGGGAGAAAATGGCCGAAATCAACTCTGAATGATGGTCTATACTGCTTAAATTACCTTTATGTGGTGTTTCTTAACTGATAACTAGTTCCAGTAAAATATATTTAGAACATGTGTCTGAGTCTCAGTCATTCAAACTGCAAAGACAATGATTTTTTACAGGTAAGAAGTTTAGCTAAAAAAATATATTTTCCTTTATTTAATCTTGGGCTGCAACTACCCATTATTAATTTAATCGATAATTAATCAACTAATAATTGGAAAGCAAAAGGAGCGTATGAGCTGACGACGCATTGTAACTGAAATGCAATTTAGTTTACATTTAATTCATAGCCTCCTTGGAGAGCTGGCTATCCTGCTTTGTTGTTGTTTATATACTGCTGTATAGCGACAGTGGAGAGGAAAACTCCCTTTTAACAGGAAGAAACCTGAAGCAGAGCGAGGATCAGTATGAGTGGCCATCTGCTGAGGCAGACTGGGGGTTTGAGAAGACAGACTCAGAAAATGAGTAAGAAATCCTTATAAGTACACAAAAATTCCCAACATGTTCTCAATCTCTTGATTCTGGATACAAAGGTACAGGCTGTTTAAAATACTGGAGAAAATGCTGAAATCCCTTTGATCATTTGACACAACATGTAGGAACCCAAGACAATTATTACTACTACCTTATTGAGAAGTTAATACAGATATGACTCAAACCCCACATCCATGTCATCATGAACACAAAAGTTGCTGCTAAACATATTTGACTCAAGGCAAAATAATCTAAAACCTGTTTTTATAAATGTAAGCATCATTAATCACAAATATAGTGCTGTTTGATGAGGCACACTGGAACTGGAAAAAATGCTTCACATCCAGTATAGCATTGCTCTGCTTCTAATTTTAGAAAGTTCAGTTATCAAATATAAAACAACAGCTAAATTTAGCAGCCTTAAATGAGACATAAACACCTTCTCTGTCATAATTCATAATTATTTACCCACCAAACATTCCTATATTCTTATTGTACATTAAAAAACAATGTGGTAAACAGAACAAGTGGAGTGTTTGTCATACCTGGTATCGATCGATGGGGTCTTCTTGCTGGAGCTGGCTCTCTCTCAGCGACTGATACTCCTTCTCAAACTTTTTCAGCTTTTTGGTTGGAACCTGAAAAAGCATAAAATGTCAGCAGTCTGAAAGATAAGATTAAACATCTGTTTATTGGTATTCAAACTTCCTAGAGCCCCCTGCAAATGATGCAGAGCTGGTCCTGGGTTCTAAAACTACACTGCTTCCTCCTATGGAATGCTCAATATGACTCCATCTATCTGCAGCTTAATGGTATCCCTTATTACTGGTGTCCACCACCAGGTTCAGAGGTCGCCATTGCAATAGGCAGTGCAGACCTTATGGTTACAGCCAAGGTCAGATGCGT